TGTAATAAAAATGATGTTATATTGACTTATGAACATAACTATCAAGGTAAAATAACGCTATTAATTGTAAGTTTTTTTTTGGTATTTGTATAAGAAATAATATGTCATAATAAAAAATTTTAGTTGCTGAGGAAGTCTCAAATAGAGACGAAACGTTCAACGGATAAATGTATTGTTCATCTAATTTAAACCTGTCCAAAAAATAACTTCCCTAAGAATTAAACTTAGTAATAATATTAAAAAAATTTTGGATAAGAAAAAAATCTTTATTATATTAACATAAAAAGACATGTTCAAGGAAACGTTTTAATTATTTTTGATATTTTTTTTATCATTAATAAAAATTCATGCGTTATCACGTCGTATAAAGTCTCTTCTGCATAAAAATCAAAAACTTATTGAAAAAACTCATGAAGCCGAATTTGGTAATATGAGTTTTTTTTCGCATTATGATTCTTTTTCATAAGAATATACCAATTCTTGCACAAAAACTAGGCGATAACATGTCGACAATGTATTCTTCGATATAGAATTTACTCACGTAACTTTAGTTAGAAACGTACACCCGTATAAATTAAAAAAAAACAAACAAACAAAAAGAGAAATCTGACAATCCCTAGTATTAACGTAATTAGATACAAAACAAAAGAAACTACTGTCGTTAAATCATACATTCGACATCAAAAAATCTGACCATAACTTTTATCGTATACGCTTTTATAACACGTTTAATCCATCGATGTTTCAGATATGATCACGAGGCTACTTACGACTCTCGCGGTATTTTCTTCTACGATAAAGAATCAGTGGTAATGAGGAAATGGCAGATTTTAGAGTTCGATGGAAAGCCGTATTATGCATTTGTACCAGAGGATGACATACCTTTACCAGACGATAATATTCCTGAAGACTTGGAGGAGATCACAAAGAATGGCGAAGAATTTTTGAAAGAAGGGGACGAAATGGAAGATGAATTAGAAGAAGGTGAAGAATATAATAAAGAATCAAAAGATGAATGCTTTTATGCAGAAGAAAGTTTACAATATGATTCAATAGATGAGAACCTTTATGAAGAAGGAAATATTTTTAATAGGAATTACGAGCAAAAGGAAGAAGAAGAGGATGTAAAACCGATTATACTTAATGGTAGTAACAAAATAGATAGTAAAAACACGGTAGGAGATTTATATCAGTTGAAACTTCAAGGTAGCACAGTAACTCTCGAAAAGCTTTTCTCTACAGATGCCAACGTAAAATCTGAACATATTTTTCAAACTGAGGAAACTTATAACAAAGATGCTGAAGATGAAGGAGAAGTAGAATATCTCGAAAGTGAAATCTTAGAATCTACGGATGATCCTGTATCTCCAACGAAAAGTAAAAAAAAAGTTTCGAACACTGCATTAAAATGTAAACTCTGTTCGGAGATGTTTAACTCAGCTATATCTTTTCGAAAGCATGTTGCGTGGACTCACAAAAAAAAAGTGTGTATAAAAGAGGACGGTGCTTACATATGCGCTGTGTGTGATTATAGAACATTAAAGAAAAGCTTGTTCGCAGCACATCTTGAAAGAAAACACGAAACTTGGTCTAGGAAACGACAGAACAATGTATTATTTCCTTGTGCTGCTTGCGGATTCGAATGTAGGTCCAAACACTCATTACAGTCACATTTTATAAGAAAACATACAGATCGATATGAACATCAATGCAAATTTTGTCCCAAAAAGTTTAAAGTTAAGGGTGATCTCACGAATCACGTAAGATTCCATCATAAAGAAAAACCATTAAATTGTAACGTTTGCGGAAAGCTCTGTCAAAACAGTGGTTCTCTTTATGTTCATCAGAAATGGGCTCATTATAAACCGAAATACGAATGTCATATTTGTAAAAGACGAATGGTGACTCAGGAAAATCTTGACCAGCATCTTTTAATGCAACATGAAAAGAGAGAAAAAATCGTATGCGCGGAATGTGGTAAAACCTTCACAAAAAAAGATTCTTTTAAGAGACATATGGCTGTCCATACTGGATGCAAACCGCATTCTTGTCTAATTTGTAAAAAGCCTTTTGCAAGAAGATCACAACTAAGACAGCACTTGCTAATACACACAGGAAAGCGACCATTTGTTTGTGACATTTGTGGAAAAGCTTTTACTCAAAAACCAGGTCTAATTTGTCACAGAAAGACACATCCTGGTCCTCATCCACCATTACCTGTGATGCCAATCGCTGACATCGTTAAGGAATTTACTGAGGAATATGTTCAAGAAATCAATGCTCGTGAAAATGATGAGAGATTTGTTGAGGAAACATAAAGTGTCTTCGTTCTATCAATTAGGATCATTTAATTATAATTCATATTAATTCGGGTTTGTCAAGCGAAGGTTTTTTTTTTTTTAAGATAATTAAACATAGTATCTGCGAAAAATATAAAAATCCATAGAACAATTTCTTTTGAATCAAATTCGTTTAAAAAGATAACTTTTTGTTCTTTTTATATATGCTTATATCATATATAAATATATGAATGTTTTATCCCATTTTTAAATTTTCATGTAATTTTGCTCTCGCGATCCTTTTCTGACTACAAAATATATAAGGAAAAAAATGTATGATTCTTTGGCTTTCATGGGCTGATTTATAGTCCCTCAATACCCTTTGATTGTCAGGTTACATTCATTCACACCTTACATTCCCTTTTCGCCTTCATGCTTATTAGTATGTATCTCTAATATGTAATATCGTATTATTAATAAAGACAACAATTATAATTTTCTTCTTTATAAAACAATTTTTATAGAAGCATCAATCTCTAATCTGCTCGTTGCTGTTTTCGCGTGGGTACTGATAAATTAGTCCGGAACAGCCAAAGGGTTTATAATTTCTAAATTAAAAGAAAATTGATTAAATCTTAAAACTTGGTTACAATTAAAATAAAAATAAAGAATAACGTTTTATTATTATATGATTAATTAACATATTTGACGATAAGTGTATAAATTTATTTTTATTAATTGTGAATTTTTTTTTAATTGTGAAAATTTAGCCTATAACATTAATCTTATAGTTCCAATAGATTTTATACTAAAATAGTAAAACGAGGAGCTGTATTTAATAATTTTGAAATTATTATTGTAAGTTTAGCGAACATTGCGTAACGACAGCATCGCTTAACCGAATCTTGGGTTTTTTGTTACCATAAAATAATAATAATAATAATAATAATAATAATAATAATAATAATAATAATAAGAATAAGAATAAGAATAATAAGAAGAAGAATAATAATAAGAAGAAGAACAGTAATAATAATAAATGTCTTCTCCTGTTAATATAGTTACGTTTTACCAGAGTATAATTACGTAAAAAGTAGAGCATTGTTCATTAGTATGAACGAATTGAGTTAAATTTTTTTTTTATTAGGGATCGCGATGACAAAGATGTTTTATGTTAATGCGACACACGAATAAATTTTTAATACAGAAAAAGAATGTAAAGAAGAAGAAGAAAGATAAAACTACTTTATTCTATTAAAAAATATATATATTATTTTGGTGCCACGATAGCGATAAGACCACAATTTTCCAAATCATCGAATAATTGCAAATGATGGAATAATTAACGATGGTATAAATTTACCTTTAACACTCGTTTGAATGTGTATTTGAAACATGTAGACAAATTAAAGATGTTAAATTTCTAAATGTAATAATAATATATATAGCGAATCCCAAACCTATAAAAAATCATCTTTTCCAGATAAAAAAAAATAAAAGTAAGTAAGTAAGGGGAGGTTTTGTCTTAGCATGATGTTTTAACAAATATGATTATCACGAACTTCTTAAACAGAAAATGAGACTGTTTCGTTTGTTATAGATTTTTCGTCTATCGTAAGAAAGCAAAAGATACGAAATTATTTCTTAGGATAATTGAAACTTACAATAATGAAGTACTTCGCTTGTATGTTTTAGAGTATCCGATCCATTGAGTGTGGACATTAAATCCGCTCATCAGTCTTCATTGAAACTTGAATACGACGAACACAACGAAACAAGATCCTTGAAACAAGCTGATAACGAGGATATCTCTCAAAAAGAAATATCTGTTCTCATTGTAGATCGCTTCAAAGATGAGAGTACATTAAATATCAAAGGAAATTCGAAAAGGAAAGTAGATAAAAACGTGGAATGTGATCATTGTCAACGAAGATTCAGAAAAAAAAGTAATCTGATAGAACACTTAAAACAACACAAACATAAATGTACCGATTGTTCGAAGACATTTAGTCTTCGACGTTATTTAATCTCTCACATTGAGAAAATTCATCATCGTCAGATCTACGAGTGTAGCGTTTGCGAGTATAAAAGTAATAACAAAGGTACCCTGAAGAATCATTATATTTGTCTGCACACCAACAGTTATGATTATTCCTGTGATACCTGTGGCAAATTATTCAAGATCAAAAAGGCTTTGAATCATCATGTTAAACAGAATCACAGTGGCGCACCGCCCATTGTATGCGATGTTTGTGGACACTTCAGCAAGAATCTTCATGCATTGAAGGCTCACATGAAGTATAGACATTATAAACCTGAGTTCGTGTGTCGTATTTGTAGACGCGGTATGACCACTCGTGAAAATCTTGAACAACACTTAGCTTGGCACGAGAACAGAGAAAAGGTTCTCTGTCCTACATGTGGGAAAAGATTTCGAGGTCGTGATCTTGATTCTCACATGCGAATACACACTGGTGTTAAACCTTTTCCCTGTCCAGTTTGTGGTAAATCTTTTAGAAGACAAACTGCTCAAGAACAACACGTTCTTATACACACCGGAAAAAGACCTTACATTTGTGATATTTGTGGACAGGCTTTTGCACAAAAACCTGGCCTAATTTGTCATAGAAAAAGACATCCTGGTCCTTTACCACCTCTACCTGTAGTGTCTGTGAAAAGTATAGTTACTGAATTCACTAGAGAATATTCAACGAAAAATACGATAAAGATAGAATGAACTTCGTCGTTGAGCTTTGATTGTGTGTGACTGATTTGGATTTCGATCAATTAGTGCTACTTTTATTTTTTTTTTACACTGAAAAAAATTAAATTCTTTTAGAGTATATGTCATAAAAATTGTTTAGGATAATCGTTTTTTCCAAAATTAATTATAATATTAGTTTCATTGGTATTTTAAATTAATGCAGATAACAATATGTCTATTTTGTTACTACAACAACAAAAATAAAAATTTATTTCACAAACGTCTAATAAGTAAGTTAATTTATTTCATATTTTTGTAAATAATACACCGAGTGATACGATTGTGACTAAATCACAATATACATATACTATTAATTTCAAAAATATTATTTTTTATAATAATCTTATAATGAACTATTTTCTAGTTCTTAGTAACTCTATATTTAAAGGGGGTAAATAATTAAAAAGATACGATTTATACCATTTCCTCATCCATATTTGATCGGTAGGTACATATGTATATGTATATGTACTCATATATCAAATCCATTATTATCCTAATTACTAGATAATCAAATAATATTAAACGATGATTATGTCATATGTATATTATATGTCTCTTGTTTCAGGCAACAGAAGAAGAAATCGCAAGATATGCATGAGTGTATCAAGTGCCGTGCTCGTTTCCGTCACATGATGAAATTAGTCGAACATTTGAAAAATCTTCATAGTATTGAACGTGCATTCCATTGCGACGAATGTGGAAAAGCTTTTCGTAGTCCAATGAACATAACACGTCACAAACTGATCCATACTGGTCAAAAAAAATTTACTTGCGATATTTGCGATTACGCTTCTAATCAAAAATCAAACTTGGAGTCTCATCTTCGTAGGCATAGAAAGGATTACGTTTACAAGTGTGAAAAGTGTAACAAAGGATTCTTCGATCGGGCAGAATATGAAGAACATTTTAATGTACATGTAAAAGATAAATTTTATCAATGTGAATACTGTAAAAAATTGTATTTATATAAGAAAAACTTGACTAGGCATTTGAAAACTCAACATGTGAATTTATCGTCTAATACAAATGTTCTAAGTCCAACAACGAACAAACTCATTGGCAAAATCTACTTGTCCGATGAAAAGTTGTTAAAAAACAAATCTTCTAAAGTAATCACTAGGAAATATCTTTGTGATTTGTGTGGTAAAGCGTTATCCTCGCATAATAGACTGGCGATTCATAGACGTGTACATACAGGTGAAAAAATAGCCAATTGTGAAATGTGTGCTAAGAAATTTACTAGTAAAGAGAATTTAAAAATTCATTTGCGAATTCACACTGGAGAAAAACCACACATTTGCTCCGAATGTGGTAGACGTTTTACACAAAGAACATCTTTGGTTATGCATCTTCGTTATCATTCGGGAGATAGACCATTTAAATGTCCTGATTGTGATAAGAGTTTCATTTCCAGTACGTTTCTTAAGAACCATCGTAAAGTACATAACAAGGGCTCTATCAACATTGACAAAGTACTTGTAAGGGACGACAATAGTTTAGAATTAGATCCATTGATTTAAAAAAAAGATCTGGTATTATCTAAATAAAAGCAATTTACATGCATGTATTTTTCATTTATATCAGTGTTAAATATTTCCTTCGTTTGAACGGCTTGCTCAAATTAAATAGATATGTTCTTCTCTATAATCGATCTACCTCCTTGATAAATGGAATGATGTCTAGTGCACTGGCTAATAAAATATCTCTACGTATCGATCGAAAGGATTCAATTAACTCTGCGATTACAATTCAAATATTGTAAGTTTTATTTTTTCATTTTCAAGTACAAGCTACAATACTATCAGATAATGTATAATAATGAATGTTCAAAAGATGATACAATCAAAATTTAATAATTTCATTGTCATATCGCATTTTTACAGATACGAGATGAACGAGAAAGTCTGTGATCTATGCGAACAAAAATTCCTCTTCGTAACAAGATTGGTTGCTCATCTAAGAATTATTCATGGGATTCATCGACCATTTAAATGTATGATCTGTGAAAAAAACTACCCTCAACAATTTATGCTAAATGCTCATGTAAAAAAATGTCACACACCAAAAACTGTACTGTGTACGCAATGTACCTTTATGGGCGTTGATACGAGTGACGTAGAGAGACATAAAAAGCGTCATCATCGAGAAGAAAAGTTTACTTGTGAGATATGTAGTGAGATATTTACTGAGAAAGATGCACTCATCGCTCATACGACTATGCATAATTTTATGAAGCACCATCAGTGTAATGCATGTGGTGAAACATTTAATGATGTTTTAAGGTATCCAATTTATTTCTTTAATAATTATCAATCATATACATATTTTTTTATTTTTGTAAAAAATGCTAACATTATATATCTTCTAATTCTAACTTGTGAAAGTTTCTTTTAAATTTAAGAAAAAATTTATAGCAAGTTTACTGTTATCGTTCTCTCTCTCTCTTCCAGCTTGAAAGAACATAATCGTTTGCATCATTACGATCCCAATAGTGTAATGATAGACAACAAGCACGTGCAATCGGATCGTCAAAGTTCGGATCACAAATGTGAAATTTGTGGAAAAATGTACAAATACAAATCCATTTTAAAACAGCACAAAGTGAAGGCCCACGGTAACTCGTTGAACTACGAAAAACGTCGATATCTTTGTGCTTTGTGTGGCAAGGAACTAAAAACAGCAAAAGGTCTGGAGATTCATAACAGATCACATACAGGTGAAAAACCATATACGTGCGAAATTTGCGGCAAGTGTTTTGCTTGCGAAACTATTTTAAGGACTCATAATGTCACCCACACGGGTGAAAGAAAATATTCATGTGATCAATGTGGTAAAGCATTCACGCAAAGATCCACACTTGTTGTTCACAAAAGATATCATTCAGGTGAAAGACCCTATGTGTGTTCTCAGTGTGGTAAGGGTTTCGTCACTAGAACGGTTTTGAATACTCACATGAAATCGTGTCGATGAAGAATTATACTTTTGTGATTTAAAAAAATCTGATCTTTCTACTCACACTTCCATGCATATGGATTTTGACAACTACATTTACACTTGCCAAATAAATTTGTATACAATACATGAAAATTCTTCCCAGGTGAAATTGAACGATTGAACGTATTAATGATTACATGTGACGAAGTAAGGTTGTTTAGGATTAATTAATTTATTATAATGTATGACTCTAAAATAATATATATTGACGCGTGAACTAGGTGATCGAGTTGCTGAGGAAGTCCCCAGTAAGGGACGAAACGTTCAACAAGATCAAATAAATTTGTTCATCAAAATTTATTAACTGTCTTCAATTTTCCCTTTGAAACTCATATATATTAATATACTGTTGGGACAAGAATATTGATTATTAATTTAGTATTAATTAAGTTTTTTATATATTATGTGTACAATGGTATTTAAACGTTCAAAAAAAATATATATATATATTGATTTGTAATAATTAAACTAATTAAAGTATTAATTATATTAGAAAGTAAAACAAATATACCAGAAGGTAAGCAAGGTGCAATTTTTTCAAATTTTCGTACAAAAATTCAACGAAACAAATAAGAATTATATAAGTTTGATATTAAATATAAAAATGATCTTTGTAAATTATATTAAACTTGTTTCCGTGCAACCCTCTGTACTATTAAAATAAAATAAGTAACGTAAAAAATAGAATATATGCATAATATATATAAACAAACATTTAGAAAAATAGTAAATTAAAAAAGTACCTAAACTTTGAAATAGCATTTGGCTGTATTTTATTTTCTGATGTTAGAAATTTAGAGAGACGTGGATTAATAGATCGGGGATCGTTACAGAGACATCACATAATTTGTGATCAATAATACATAAAAAAAGAAGCTGTATCTTCTATACGAAAGTCGACTTCTTGCTCAAGCATCTTATGAACATATTGATAGTTTACATCGTCCAATATGGCACGATTCTTGACATTTATAATACGTGGCTTTATGTGAATCGTACGAAAGTCTGTAACAAAAAACGTCTTAATTTATAATTTCACTTAAATTAATAGCTAATGTTAAGCTCACAGGTTTTGCGTTCTGCTTGTAATTGACAAATATCACGCAAAGTATCAAGACTTCTCATAATTCCATCGTATTGCAGTTTAGTTAAATTTTTACATTGAATGAGCATAGAAATGAGTAAATCATCAATTAACTCTCGATTGTTTTTAAGTTGTAACATTACTTCAGCTGAAAATGAAAATTACCTTTTTATTCTTTACAAATTTGTTTAATGAATTATTTTCCTAATGAGATACCTAGTGTGTTTGTGTAATGGGAAATTAACAGCCCAACAGTGCCTCGAAAATTACGAGATCTACTTTGGTCCCAAACATATCCACTGAATAATTGAAACTTGGCAAGTGGAACACTAGGGAGCAACAAGTAACACATGTCCTCATAATGTGAAATATTTACTGAAAATAAATTTTAAAAAGCTAATTATCATATATATATACATACATAAATATTAAATAATAAATGCATATTATTGGAGAATAAAAGTTAACAAATAAATATATGTAAAAACGTTTATGCTATTGTATAATAAAATATATCTACTTATGGTATAAGTAACTGTTAATTTTGGACAGGAACGTGCTAGATTATTCCAAGAACTATCAGTAACAGTATGCTGTCGAGAATCAGAATCACGGATGGATATATGCAAAATTTTAAGAACTTTTGGAGCACCATTAGCCAAAGCATTTAAAGTATGATCCGAAATCGCTGGATAATCTAGTTTCAATATAGTTAATGCATGAAAACGACCCAATAGGCGTAAATATCTAAAATAGAAAAGTAAAACGTATTAATTCTACGTAAAAGAATACAAGTAGTAAATTTTATAGATGTATATTTCAAACCTAGGATTGCTATGAGGAGTTTGCCATTGTCTGAATGCACCACGAAGATCCAAAGATGCTAATCTTTCACTGCTTCCTCTTGCAACAGTTCCTAACAGACGCAGAACATCGCTTACTCCAAAATTAGCATTGAGTAAACTCAAAGTTTCAAGATTATACTGACAACTGAAGAAAGTATCAGATATTTGTTCTTTTAACTTTAATAAATTTAGAAAAAAAACTATATATATATAGAAATTCTATTAAATTACCCGAGAAAATTTGCAAGAGCGTACAATAGTTTGCCTCTATCTCCCCATTTATAACTGAAAACCCAATTAGTTAGTATAAGTTCTTTTAATTGTACATTCTTAGCTCGTACGACTGCAAGAAAATCTGCGCCTGCTTCTGCCTGAATATGATGAGCAGTTCGTGTTTCTTGTGGTAAAGTATATGATCTTGACCAAGCGAGTTCTAAAGTTCTCATATATTGTCCATATTTTGCCTTCAAAATTAAAATAAATTTTTCCCTAATTATTTTGAATTTGCCGTTTTTGAACGATATTATTGATGGTAGATAAAAAAGAAATCGTCGATAAAGATAAATATTTATAATGAAAAGCACTACATATATATAAATTTATATGGAAATATCTAATAAATGTTTATAATGAATAAGTATATAAAATAATGAAAATTACAGAATCGTCGTACGTACAGCCAATTCTCCCGTCAAAGGGAAATTTCCTCTAAGATCACGATCAATTAGGACTGTGACAGAACGCCATAAAACAGGTGAGGAAAGCGCTGAATTCCATGATCGACAAATTTGAGATACACTGGCACGATCTCCACGATCGAGATGACTAAATATTTGTATTAATATCAGCTCCGGCAGCTGATCCCACATCTCCCAGATTCAGCTTGGCCCGTCTTCATCTCTTATAAACTAAAACATCTACTACCATAACAACTTTGTATTTTCTTGTCAGATTTTATGGCCTTCGCGATCCTTTCCTACTTTTTTTATGAACATAAGACAGACGATAAATACGAATTAATAATTCGTGATATATGTCAAATTGAACCATTAGTAATCATGAATACTATTACAAATTCAAATTTTTAATTACGAGAGAAACAAAAAATATCAAATAAACAAATATGATTAGGTATAACATTAATTAATATAATTTTCGCTAAACAGTCATAAAAAATAGGAGGATTCGATCCGGCGACATCAGGGACATGAGACCACGCCGCTAGTCGTTCCGCTATCCAAGCAATAAACGTAAGTAAATATAAGAATTTTTGTGAAATTTCTAAAATTAATTTACACCTTACCTCCAATGTAATCGTTCACGCATATGAACACAACACTTCAAATTTCCAATCTTTTATCAAAACACATTGCACCACATAAAATATCTTCACAAAACATAGAATAGTAACTTCGCGTGAATTATCATCTATGATTCCAGGGCTATCTTTTAATATAAAATTTAAATACCCCTCGCGTTCACTCGAAATTTAAAAATAAAAATTAAAAATTATCCGTGAAAATATATATA